TAGTATTGAAAATGCGTCAATAAAACTACCCGCAAATTATAAAAGATAGAAGGCTGAAATTTTTCACAAAAACTCTGCTATTTATGTGCAAATATGGAAACAATCGGCCATATCCACACAATGTTACAAATGATTAAATTTTCCTTTTCACTTTTTTGAGGTTTTATCCCTATTAGTTATATCGTAAACAAGACAGAATGTTTGAAAGTGTTTTGTACATTCTTCAAAAGAAGGCATATTATCTGCGTAAAGATGCGTTAATTCTAAAATAAAAATGGTGAAGACCACGACCTGGTGCATTAATTTTTTCATAAAAATTTTAGCGATAATGGTATCAAATAAAAGAACTTGGAGAGTAGAAGATGACAAGAGAAATGTATTAGCTCTAAATTAATTACGGTGGGGATCGCGAGGTGGTGCATTCATTTTTTCGTTGCGATACCGATGACATGGATATCACATAAAATGATTTGGCGAGTAGAATGCGACAAGCTAAGTGTGTTAATTCTTAATCAGTTGTGGTGGAGGTCAGAACATGGCGGATAAATTTTTTCTCAAGAATAGTGTCCATACGGGTACCAAGAGGAAAGGCTTGGAATGTACACTGCGAAAAACTAAACGTGTTACTTCTAAATTAATTATGGTCCACGTCACGACGTAATAGATTAATTTTTCTTAACCATACCTTCTTAACCTTTGAATGAAGTAAAAGTTCAAGGATAAATTTTATCCCATTAACTTTTTTATAATAATATATGATGGGATGGGGCATTAAAGATTGTAATGGTAGCGAGTATGCGATATTCGGCTCGCCGAATATAAATTTCAGACTTGTTTTATATTTTCTTTATTTTTCTTTAAATATTTGTAACAATTATAAATAATACTTATCATAGCATTTATTTCTAAGAGCCAATTGAATTCGTCTGTTAATTTATTTTACAATTTCATGTGTAAAACAATAAAAAAACCAAAGGGCAAATCGCAGTGCGGTGTTTGGTTGTAGCTATAGTGAATGTTCAATCGATAAAGAAATAAGACTTACCGACTGGGGATACATCCACTAATCTGCAACCATCTTCACACCTCTTTTTCTTTTATCACTTCGTTCAGACTGTCTTTGCATTGCACGGGTAAAGGACATCATCCTCTGAGTTATGATAACTTAAAAAAAAGCGATATTATATTGAGATAAATTAGTAGAGGATATATTTATGGAATCTCTAGCTGAAAGAAGGATTTATGTGTTACCAGCGTACGTTGTTGTCGATATGCTGTCAACCGTCGGAACATCTGGAGTGAAACATAGCATAGAATATTTAAGTTAGAACAATAGGGCATTCCATCTTCAATATGTATGCATTGGATCTATTATTTGCAACTTCAGAATAGAAGTGCCTGTTTGTAAATAAGAATTAAGTAGCAAATACATAGTAATTAGAAGACCTTATTTAAGTAGCCAATCGAAGGCTTTTTTCAAATCTAGGATTACACCACCACAATAATTTTTAGTTTCAGTGACTTCTCTAACATACGAAACAACACGATGCCATTGCTCAATGAAACCATATTTGTTCCTGACAAGTCCTGACAACTGATGATGAGGAGTAGTAGGTGTTTGCTCGAAAACTTCTCGGGAGTTTTCTCGAGAACGGCGATCTTCGATATTTTGTCAAATAGTTTAGAAAAAGTAATCAGTAAAAGAAACGTAGATAATAGCATTTTGTGGCTTATTAGGTTTAGCTACCATAATTACTTCGGCGCTTTCCTATTGAGTTAGGGAATGATTCAATCTTAATATATTGTTAAAAATTAATGTTAAAAAGACGAAAGCCTTACAAGGTAAAGATTTAATAGTATTGCACTTATACATTCATAATTAGGGAGTTAGTTTGCTCGTCTCTTCTTTGACTTCGGGGTAAAATGTATGCCTGATAAGCCAAGCCAATGGACGTTTCTACCTTCAAAGACCACTAGAGGTTATTAGGTTGGAATGTTTCTTTTAGATAATGAACAAAATTTTCGTTTTTCTCTACATCATTTCTGTCCCTTAAAGGAATAATTCGCCTCTAAGTTGACTTTCCACAAGTAACGTTCATCAGACATGCCCCCATTGATGTTGATTAAGAAATTGGACCAATTAGAATGAATCTTTTTATACTCACCATTGTTAGATGGAGGAAGCTTTAGAGACCCTATAAGGTATATATGTATTTTTTGTGTTATATTGTAAGTATTTATTTTTTTATATCAGCGTGAAATTCTGAGTTGATTTAGCCATGTCTGTCCGTCTGACCTTCTCTGTGTCTGACTGTGGGTGGCGTGTGTTGTTGGCCCTCTCCTGGTCGCAAAAATGCAGACATCGACCTCAAATTTAGCAAAAACATTGGAAGTTGCCGCACGCAGGTTAGCATTGACAATGGGCTAAATCGGTGGGAGCGGAAGTGCAGTGGACTGTAAACTGAACGCAACTCCGTTTTTTTTAACAAAAATTTTTGGAATTTTGCTCATCATTTGGAAATTATAAAAGTTAGTTGGCTGAAATTTCCCGCATTTACTTTACGAAGCGCTTTACTCCTTATGTGCAAAAATGGAAAACATCCGCCACGCCCACACAAACTTGCAATTGATTACTTTTCCACTTTTTTGAGGTTTTATGCGTATTTATTATAACCCAAACAAGACCGAATGTTTAAAACTATTTTGTAGATTCCTTAAATGAAGGTATATTATCCGATAGACAACGCGATTAATTTTTTCTGAATAATGGTGATATGGAGAGTAGAATGCCGAATATAATTTTCTTACTTGTTTCTGTTTAATGTGGTAGATGTGAAATATAATTTTTTTGTCATACAACTAGCTTAGTACTCTTCTCTTATTTCATCAATATATTAATCTGACTGCCATTTATAGTTATCTCATTAATCTGTATTAGCATCAATAACAGTTGAAAGAGTAGAGATAGAATTATCTATTAGCATTGTCTATTACGTAACTACTGGGGCATAACTTAGAATATTTTTTACAGCCGTTAGTGAAAATAATGTAATCCTTGTAATCCTTGAAGATGAATTATTTTATACAAAATTTTGATTATTTTTAATTTGTTTAATAAAGATAGAAAAGAAAGAGATGCTGAGTCATTCTGACTATAGTGGATTTTGGAATATAGATTAGCAGAAATACGCAGCAGTATTCTCATCGTGCACCATAAAGGAGAATCTGCCATTTGAAATGAACACAGCACATTCGATATGTAATGCTGATAAGTAATAAAGAAATCGTTTTAAGTCGGCGACAATTTTTTGCTTTTGCACAATTAATTTTTTTTTGTTGAAGACCTTGTCATACTTCGCCTCATTTCGTCATATTAGGATTTATTGCCACATCAGGATTTGGTTTCATAAGAACTCTTATACAAAGTGGAATGAGAAAAATTAGATCTTTGCGATCCAAACTTAGTGCAATTCGTGTCTATGCCAAGTTACTAGTATGAACAAGTTTTCATTGTAAAAGGTTTAAAAGTTTTTGTTAAAAAATTTTAAAAGTCAGCAAAGTTTTTCCATATAACCACTTTTTCGAAGCAACACGTTACATGGGAAGAGGTCGTAAGAATACGACTTAATGCATTGTCAATAAGTTGCCTGCTTGCACCGAAGCACATCAGTATATGTCCTTCAAATATGTCAAAGATTTGCAATGTGGATGTTTAACACAAAATTGCATGGAGAGACACCAGAAACGCAGCAAGCTATGTCGACAAGAATTGTTTTCATAAAACTTGATAGTTGCTATAATTTCACTAGCTTTTAGATCGGTATAGCTTTTATAAGTCTCTTAGTTGTCGCATCGGAAACAACCCCAGTTTGATATGTGAAAGTAAACTTTGCGCATATATGTAGGAAGAGAAACAAGTGATAGCGGCAACTGGTTATTTATTACGAAGGCATAAATCATTATTTGCACAGAGGTTTTCAGACACATTTTTACTAACATAGCACTTGCACATACAACAGCAATGCCACCTACCATTTTCCCCAGTTGCGGCCGCCCGGAGGATAACATCCGTTTAGAAGTGTCACAAAGTAAAGATAAAGATTGAGACGAAATGATGAGGTGATTTCGAAAACTGAAGCACATTCTGAGGATCTTCGAAAATCCGGCCTTGAAAAAGGATCGGTGCAGGAAAACATTAGAGGTAGTTTATTATTCTTGAAGAGGGCTAGTTTACTTAAGGAAGTCCAATCTTTCAAAAAATTTTGGTTTTTTTATTTAGTGCCGAATTGTATTAATACTAGCCTCATCTAATTACTTCGATTGCGAAAGGCAGTTTCGATAATATTTTCAACACTGTTATATAAGCAGTCGTCATGTTTTTCTAAATTGTGTAATCTTATCTAATTCATTTTATCATTTCCTTCGTAGCATCGTAATTTTCAGAATTAATATTGGAAACTTAATTTAAAATCGAATTCCAAAAATCTCTTCGGCTTTAGACGGAAGCGCTAATTCCAATCAAAAGACTTTGATAGTAATTTCGTTCACAACAGCAAAAAAATCGACTAGAACGTCGTCCGTAATCAAAGATTTCAGGATAATTTCAACAATGCTTTAAAGACTGATATTGGTATGGATGTGGAATATACCGTCAAACCACAAAATTCAAATCTGAACTCACAATCTGCAGACAGACTTACTGTAAAAAGGCAAAGAATTTAGGTCAAGTGAATATAATGTTTTTTGTTTTATGCAGTGTCTAAACTTATCGTTACATGTTGTTTATTCATAATTATTAATAGCTTGCTTGGTTAACAAGCCCAAACAAAATCAACATGGAAGCATGCAACGTTAATTAAGCTATCGTATAAGCGTGCAACGCGTTGTATTATAAAAACATGAAAAAATATTCCTCTCAATACATCTCGAAGATAATATTGCAACGGCACATAAAAGAAATGAAACTAATTTTTATTACAACTATTATCTGCATACTGCGAATGCTGTGGTGGAAACCAATTTGGGCCATAGTGAATCCAAACAACGAAACAGCTAACATTGTCGTATATTTGCGAAAGCCAAATGATATGGGCCCGCGCAGTTGGATCGCTGGTGTCAATTGCTTAGAAGCGTTCTCGGAGCTATACTTCCAAAGACGAGAACAGCTGACTCGGTCTTTGAATGTTGTATCCGTTCAGGCGTATAACTTAACGACTCCAGCTGCTCAAATACAGTTAGGTTACTTGAAACAATTAAACGAATTCATTGGGCAAAATTATACGCATCGCAAATATTATCAATTGCGCGTGATCTCGGACGGTGAAGCGTACAACGGGAGCTATCTTAATCGGCAGGGATTGGTGTTAGCTGACTATTATGTAATTGTTTTAGATAACGTTACGCGTTTGTCGAATTTACTGCGCCGCCATATGCTCCAATCGATATCGTGGAATCCTGGAGCGAAATTTTTAGTATTGTATCACAACGCAAATGACCGCAATCGGACAGAAGAAACAGCTATGGAAATATTTACGGAAATGCAAAGAATATTTGTTACTCGTGTTGCTTTGCTGTATGCTACATCTGCTACCAAATATTCTTTAATTGCCCTACGTTATTACCACGAATCGAATTGCCGGGAATTAACAGCTCTGCCTTTCGGTCAATGCAATGATGGGAAACTCAACCCTGGAGCTGCTGCTATGAAACCGATGTTACATAAATATTTTAACGCTTTTAACGCAAAAAATTGCACATTCCATTTATGTGCGTCGGTTTTGGCTCCTTACGTCGAGTCGGACTGTATTGAAGGGATCGAAATGAAATTGATTGGATTCCTAAAAGACCGGCTGAAATTTAAAGTAAAATTTTTAGTTTTTGTGCAATTTTTTTATTATTTCGTATATTTTTCAGCTTAACCAGACCTGCTCTTATGACAGTCGTGGCGTAGAAGACGATTTCGGTGAATTTAGTGGCTTGTTGGGTAAACTGGATAAAAAGTCCTGTGATTTCATCATTGGCGGTTTTTATCCAGACAACGATGTGAATGAAAAATTTTGGGTTACCGACTGCTATTTGCAAGATCGCTATACTTGGTTTGTTAAGCTGGCGAATGCGCGACCAATTTGGTTGGCATTGTGCTCGATATTCGATACTTCGACCTGGTTAAGTCTACTAGGAATGTTATTTATATCATGGATGTTTTGGTACATATTCGTGATTCTGTTGCCTGAACCGAGAAAATCTAAGGATTTTTCTTTAACTGGAATTAACAATTTGGCTGTGGTTATCTGTGTTTCTGTGAACGAAAGACCATTTTGCCATGCTTCTCGAATGTTTTTTCTCGCATTAACTTTATATGGTCTGAATGTCAGTACGACTTACGCATCAAAATTGATTTCGGTTTTAACCGATCCGGGTTTAATGCATCAGATTGACAGTTTGCACGAAGTAGTAGCAGCAGGAATACCATTTGGTGAGTAAAGAGATACAAAAACAGATCGAGTTGATGATATTAGATCATAAATTAAAATATGTCGTTTACAGGTGGCTCCGAAGAATCACGGGATTGGTTTGAAAATGAAGAGGATCAATGGATCTTTGATGATTACAACGATTCTTTAGATTTTCAACCAACTTCTACTAACTTGGAAGCTGTTAGAATAGGTGAACGTGTCATTCTGAGTAGTCGCATGTATATGCTACAGAATAAAATTGTCGATGATCTTTATGCCTTCCAGCAAAATGTATTTTCCAGCCCGGTGCAGATGATTATGAAACCAGGTTTTCCGTTTCTCTTTGAATTTAATTTGTTAATACGACGTATGCGAGATTTCGGAATTTTAGACAAAATTAATGACGATTTTCGCTACAACAACACTTATTTGAATCGCATTCAAAGGATGCGACCCGACTTTACAGGTGTGAAAATATAGAACAGAAGTGATTTGATAATTTATTTTAACCTTTGGGTGCAGAAAAGGCCATCGTTTTGACAGAAGAGCATTTGGAAGGTCCATTTCTCCTTTTGATAATTGGCATAAGCACTAGTATGGTTTTCTTCCTGCTTGAACTACTCACATTTTATGTATTCCAACCAATGCGGCGAAACTGTGACATAAAATCGAAACAGAATCATATCTTGAAAAAAACGAACCAAAAGCAACCAAAGCACAAGTAAAAACATTATAGTCGGGCAAGTCCGACCATTGAATACTTATAATAAATACTGTACCTAACACAACTATTTATTCATTTTCGTCACTAAAAATTGTATTTTGTTTCCATGTAAAAAAATACTTTTCACGAAACCATTATGTAGCAGACACGGTCGAAAATATGAACTCACGTGGTCCAAATTGAATATTCTTGTTAAAGATTTTATTATTCTTTCCTTGTTTCCATCACAAAATAGTACATATTGGACTTTGCTGTGATGCGATCCAATACATTTTCAATAGCATTTGTCCTTGGGCGGAAGCACATCACTAAACGAAACTATGCCGAAGTGTTCTTAAAATTGCGAACTCTCAGTGCAATACAAAATACATTGGAGGAAATCAGACAGGCAGACAGGCTTACTTTGCCAGTGCGAAAAGGGTCTATCCTAATATGCACTGTATGCACAGAGTATAAAACATAAGAAATTTAAGTATGGCTTTAGGCCAGTCTTTTATACCCGCCCATTTCACAAAACTAAATTTTTTCCATCTGCAATCTCCGAATTAAAAATTGTTCAAGTCGCAAAGAGGAAAATACCGATTTCAAATTGTGGAAACACATTTGTTGCAGTGCAACATACATTCATATGTTTCTAATTTTAGAAATTGTGTTCGGCATGATATAGAACATTAAAGAGTTTAGGAGTAAAGATTCTCCTTTGCAAATTAGACATTAATAAATTATTATTAATATTGTAACAGTAAGGTAGCGGAAAAAATATAAAAGAAAACCTAATAAACTAAAAAAGGAAAATAGGAAAAAGAGAAATACGCAGCACTACTTACAATAGTTCGTTGATGTGAGAGTATCTGTGAGCTTTAAGGTTTTGTTCTAAAATTTAATCTTAAAATTCTGTTAGAAACGAGTATGAAACAAGGAAGTGCTTGGAAATGCCATCAGCAGCAAAAATGCCAAAACCAAGGTTCGCAGTGTCATCAGTAAAAATGGAAAGTATGGATTCACTAGATAGTAGAATATGCGTAGTAAAAATATTATATGGTATAGGTGATAGACAAGATTCTTGTGCACAACCTACATCAATTATAATGGAACGAAAACTGGACGATCCGAAATAAACGTTAAAGTGTCCATCTTTCAAAAGGCTTTGTGTGATTTTAACGATTCCGAAAGAAAAATACTGACGAAGCATTTTAGAAATGAATACATCGTGGCAAATTGAAGTAGCTTTGATCTCGAGCAAAACCGTTCCAATAGAACTTCCGGAATTAAAGTTGGATTTAACAAAATGATGAATTTGAAGAAGTAGTTGTATAGTGTTATGTTCCTTTCAGAATCCGAACTATTGCGAAGAAAAGATGTTATAGGTTTCTCTTCAGTGATTTTTTCCAATATTGTACTAATTGATGAAAGCGGGCTTACCGGTTTGTCGACTACATTTTTAGGTAACTGCTTTAAGCATTAGTTATTAATTCCATGGAGACCAGGTGACTGCTCAATAACACCAGTAACTTCATTAGTGGTAGCAATGTCGCTAGGGACGTCAGAGTAATGAAGATTGAGACTACCGGCCGAAAATATTACATTTTTCTCCTTTAGAACTATACAAGTTATTGTTTGGTTGTATGTTCCACAATGAACTTGAACTTTTCTTCAGGGCGGAAAGCATACAATTCCAAGATAAATTTCAATAAATTAAAATTTCTTTAAAATTTGCTTGTTAAAGGTTTTTATTTGAATGTGGTTGTCATTTCCAAGACGGTTCCAGTTCAATTTTCTTTGAGCCAGGCAATTTTAGAGGAGAATGAATCATGAAAGTTAGATGTTAACCATGTCTCAGATACCACGCAAACATGCATATTATGATTAAGTAAGAATCGGAATAGTTCGCGAAGGTCGTGGGCATCCCAGGTCTTAATATTGATATCTTCTGTCATTAATATGGGAGAGTGGTGATGTCTCACATAATTTAGAAGCAAGACTTAGAAATCTTTCTAACAATAGAGGAAAATACAAGTCATCATCGAAATCAGTTATGGTATACAATCGTGAAAATTAGCTATATTTCGAAATACGTCGACAAGCATACACCAAGGCATCTCGGGCAATATTAGTATACCATCGTGTTTAGGAATAGAAATTTGTGAGCATGCCTGGAAGTATGATAGCGCCAGAGAACAAATCAAATCAACTGTTCCAATTCCGCTTGTATTAGGAACCAATATTGGCAGGAGAGAATAGTCGCCCCAAAGCCAAACAATTCTAATAACTGCACCTGTAGAACTGAGACTTATAATAGACGTGTAGAGTTACGGTTGTGAAAGTTTAGATGTTTAGAGCTACGGTATAAAGTTTAACGTAAATACTGCCGGCAACGAGTAGAAGTGATGTGAACAATAAGAAAATAGTTTGGCGCAAATGTTAGCCGCAGACGAAAAAAGGTGATAACGTACAGTACGACAAATGTTTCAACACATTCCATGTCTTGTGTACGAATCTTGATAAACGGCAATACAACCATCTACTGGATAACACAGATGAAGAGTTTCTTTACCAAATGTGCGGTGGCAGTGGAGCGAAGTTTCAAGGCGAATTAAATGTAATAAAAACACAAAAATAAATTAAATCCGCTTGATGCAAAAATGATGCAGGGCATCTATTGATCACGATCAGCCTAAACCGCCAAAGTGGAATAAAAAATTCTCCCCTCTGTTCAGCTTTATTTGCCTCCTTGAAGGCCAAGTTTCACGCACGCATGTAGTTCCACCTATTTTTTAGTCAACGCAAAACCTGTAGTTTTCCACTTTTAATTAAACTGTTACGAAAGCTACATCTGTGTCAGGACTTGCACAGGATCAAGCAAAGGTGACGTCGGTTAACTAAAAGACGGGTTGGCATCTTACAATTATCAGACTTTACGCTTCAATTTATATCGCCAGCTAAAATTACGCTTTCTGCTGCAAGGATTGAAACCATTTTAAAGAAACCATTGCGACCAAAAGAGATTTTAATAAAAAAATTTTACCTTATTTACAGACTTCGAAACTCTGCAAGTTTACACTCTATAGCTCGGATTACTTCCGTAAATTTTGTGAGCATAGAATTTTCGAATTTGGCTTTCACAGAAACCTGGCTAAAGGCTGATCTACATTGATCAGAATATTCCTCCACCAACTTCCACAATTTTAAAAGGGGTAGATTATATCGCACTAAAAATGATGTTCTAAATGTCACTGTAGTTGCATCTTCGTCCTACATAAAATATAGTTTCCAACTTCCGCTTATGTTTAACTCTATAAACATTTATTTTTAGCTTGTTCCTACATTTGCGGGCGTTTCACCCTATATACTCTTATTTGCGATGTCGTTAAAGCGACATTGATAGTATCATAATGATAGGTAATTGTAATGTCTTAGTTATTATTCAGCCTATTTGATTCTTAACACGACATTTGGGAGAGTTGGTTTGTCTGTCGCTGATAAGTTCTTGATTTAAAATTTCTTCATTATAATCATAACTATAATGAAAGATTCTGGAATTTCTGAAATTGTTGCAAGTCCACGTCCGCCTTTGAACTTATTTTACTAACATGCAAGCAAGCGAGTAAGGATGCTAGCTTAGTGTACCACCCTCCTGGGTACGGCTCTTCGGTGGGCATCGTGGTGGTTGTGATTTCTATCGTTCCTAGAGCAAATAATTAGAGGTAATAATAGGCCTCGACACTCCCCAGAGTGGATTTATTGAGCCATCCACAATAAAATATCTGGTTTCTCCAGTGTAGTGTAGGCGCTAGCTTATAAGGATTGTCCAACTCTCTGGAGGGCGCCCGTTACGCAAAACCAACTCGTGTGTCATCGCGCACCGTGGGCTTAAGCCGATAAGGTAGTGTACCCACCTTAAACTAACAAAGTTGCTTCAAATCCACAACATCCCATTAAAAAACAATATTTTATTTCCTAAATTCAAACATTAATACCCTCGTAGTAAAGTGCATTAAACCTCCTCCATTCGAAGTATTTCCTCACCGTGCTTTTTAAATACTACACAGTACACTACAGTGCATCTAAATTCTATAATAATAATAAGAAAAAACAATTTTTCACACAATATAGGAAAAGTAGTTCTACGTAAGACTGCCTTCAATAGTTTATTGCTACGTATAGAGTTATTGCAGACAATTGCGATAAGTAAAATTTTTAAACCTTTCGCTTAATTTTGCATCGGGGGCGTGAAGATTCTAATATGCCATTTCTGTACTCGCGAAATCAACTTTTTTGAAAAGTTCTTCTGCATATAAATATTTCACATATTATTATACTTTTAAAGATTTAATTACGTAAAAGGCTTACGTGAGTTTAGTAATACTAATATTGAACATTCCTCTGTTATATGGTTTTCTCTCTACGGATGTTATGTTGACTAAATAGAATCTATTCAGAAAGAATTCTTGCTCTTTACAACTTTAAGCGGAAAGGATAGCTTCAGTTTTGTTATTTTTTAATATTTGTCAAAAATAATTTCTTAAATATATAACTTAAATATATAGCTTAATAACTCCCTCGAATATTATTATTCAACTAACTTTTCCCATACAAGATAAATTATTTTAAAAAAACCCTTTTTGTATCGTTGCCGTGGTATCATCCTAAAGCCTCCATCCTCCACACTTTAGATGTCATATGCGTAAATTTCAACACTCCCTTCAATGCGTACGGTTTTCGATTGTCAAGTAATTTTCACGTTTTGATTAACTAATAAATTATGTAAATTCCAAGCACTAGATTTACAAATTGGACAAATTAAGAAAAAGGAGAGGGAAGTAACTATATGCAACCTTCCAATACCGACTCGAGGACATTCTTATTTGAAGACATCCAACTCATTTATTTTATATTACTTCCCTATTTGAACCCTTTGAACAGCGATGCTACAAACACCAAGAAATATTTTGAATGAATAGAGAGCGATGTTCATAAAAGACGTCTGCCGAGATAGAATGCTTGAAAATAGTATTTGTGTTAGCGGTACGAGTTAATGGCTTCTAAGGAAGCTGTATTGTGAAATCTGAGGACTTGAAATTGCTTTTGAAAAGTTCTCTACTTACTTTTAGAAACGGGTCAATTATTTTCTTGCCTGAATGTATGTTATCGAACAAACATGGATGCCCATAATCCAACCAACTAAACAAAAACAGCGTACTCGGAAAATATTTAAAGTATTGACAGATATCATGATATAGGTGATGTATAATTCCCTAAAAGAGCTTGCCTGTATACTGTAAATTTTGATGAAGTTGAAGATAGCATTTGTACTTAATTATATGAACGAAAGCCATAGGGAGAATTCCAAAAGTTTCTATGTGGAAAATTTTTGAATTGCAATTAACTCGGAAAGTTTGAAGACTTTGTTGCTCTTCTGAGCTTATGGCAGTAAGAATCCAAATGAATAGAGTTAACAAACCGATGCGAAGAGAATGAAACGTACAGTTGTTTTCTTAAAATCATTAAAAGCATTAAAAAAAAATAGAGCAACGAGTTATTTCTTGCTAGAAAAAAGAGAGTCTGTTAATGTTGGTCTCAGCTTCTAGTTAGTATTAAAAGATAATGCGGTGTGAAAAATACATTATTCAGTTCGATTTAGGTTTAATATTTAATAGGTTATGGTCTTTGAACATGAGCGGCGCATATAACCATGGCAGTCAACCTTCGAATAAATTAATATTCAGGTATGACAACGAAATTAGATTTTTGTTAGTCTACCTAATATCATCTGGCCTGTAATCAATCGTAATATGTACATGATAAGATTCCAGCCAAATAGCATATTGGAGCAATTCAAGCAATTCGAGCTTTTTATAAATAACTAGATAACTTTCAAAACGGCTGCATAGCTCTAACAATTGTCATCCTTTTTATTTCAGCTTTTATTTATTTATTTATTTATTCCGCTTATACAAAAAACTCAACTAAAAATTTTGACAGTCGAGTTCAAATGACTCTTAAAGTAAATCTTAAATTAATTAATATTAAAAACTTAGAAGAAAATAAAAAAAGCAAGCACACAACTAGCATAGAGCCACACCCACAATCGGTATAGGACCAAATTGCGAATGAACCC